TTGAATCGCCCTCGTTTTGAATTTTGTTTATGTATTTTAATATCTGGTGTAGTTGTAGCATTACCGTTAATAGTCTTGGGCTCGTGTTCTCGATCTCAGTACCTAGATGCGTGCTTAGGTACCTAGACGTTGCAGATGTGTAGGCAGGTCATGCAACGCGGTGCATCCGCGCCCCTCGGGCTCCGTTTATGGCCGCGTGCACTTTTCTGCAGTTTTCCGCGCACTCGTCGGCGAGTACACGCCCGTAACACGTGTACCCACGTCCGGGACCGTTTCCAGTTGCGATCTTGCCGACGTGCACCGTGTACGGAGACCTCGAACAGGAACCACTCCCCTAGGAGGTGCAATTAAGTCGTACGTCGGAATTAACGAGCCCAAAGGGCCCGCCATGAATCCCTCGACGTTTAATTTCCAATATTAATCGAACTCCATTAGAAGAGAAATATTCTAATTTTTATCACGTTTTTTTTTTAAACTTCTCGTCGCAGGTCTCATTTGCGTGGAATACCTAATTATATAACGCTGTTAAATAATCGCGTAGTTATTTTCACCGTTATCGAATACGAGGAAATATTCCGAGATTTGTGATTTTTTTTACAATTTTGGGAATCGAAGATGCTTGAATTTTCTGGATATTTTCAATGAGTCGGGTAAAAAATTCACAATGGATTTTTTAGTCCTTGATTGGCGCCTTCATTTTATGTTTTTTGATGTGGAAAATTATTCGACTCTATGGCGGACGCTTGTCCACCCTTCTTGGGCCGTTATTAAATTCCCTATCGCCCGTATCTCGATCAGAATTTCCCGGATCGAGAATTACCGTGATTCCTCCACTCTGTGTTTTGAGACCATCGAGATTGCGGATAAAGTAAACTCGGGTGGAATTACCGGTGATTCGGGCTATCTTCGCGCGGACAATTGATTATTCATCGGAGGGAATTATTAATAATTATCCGGGCGAGGGAGATCATTAGTCGGTGTTTGTTCAGGTCGATCCAGGTGATAAATCGTCTAACTGGATCGAGCAGGTCAGTGTACATCAAGAAAATGAATTCGTTAAACCGAAGATAAATTTCTTAGAATGGTGTCGATGGAAACGTTCTATTAATTAAAAAAATAATTATTGGAATGAAAAATTCAAATCGTCATCCGAATGAAATAATTATTCTTTGAAATGAGAAGATATTTTCCTGGTTTTTATGAAATGTTTTTCTGTAGTGTTCACAAAAAACAGGAACGTAGAAGAGAACTATTATGGAGGGGCGTCGGCCATCTTGAATTTCGTCTCGCGACCTACGAAGGCGTCGCCGGAATTCGGGGTCCTTTTTTAATCTTTCCGTCCTTGCTTATAATCTTTCACTCCTTGTTTTTAATCTTCTCTCTGGCTAATGGCTTCCGGGATGGAGGCGTGCATCTAAATTCAAGGCTCGCCTTAACGACGACGCGTAACCGATAGGCAAGGATGGCGAACACGACCGGACGGGGCGCGTCCTCGCGTCTTCGATCCATCGATCCATCGATCCACCGATCCGTCGATCAGTCATCGAGCGCGATCACCTCCGGCAAGGCTTCTCTCTTCCTCGAGGCGACCTTCGATTTCTCTTTCCCATTTTTTAATACAAAAATCCTAGACAAGAAAGTGCGGGTCGCGAGTGATAAACATCAAAGCGGGAAATTTAAAATCGACTCTTGAAGAATTTTTCTTTTTTTTTTTTCAATTGTCCCTCTCATTAATATACTTATTAAGATTATCACGTACAACGATAGCGATAGCGTTTAACGATTTATTTCGAGGATCTCGTTAAAAGATCCGGTCATTAGGAATTTCATCAGTAAGTCATTTCGTGCCTGAATTTCATTTAAACCGAATGCAGCGCAAAAGGATGACGAACGATCTCTCGATCGATCGAGGAGATTTTTCACAGATCTTCCAAGCGTAAATGTAGATTTTGGATTGTCGCGAGTACTCGCGAGCGATGTACCCTCGAGCTGGCAAAAAATGCCGGTCGGTCTTGGAGAGTCGCCATTAATCGGCGGCGATCGATCTGTCGCCGATAAAAAAAAAGAAAGAAAGAAACCGGAGCTCGTCTCGAGCTCACGTTCCGCGAATCGCGGGGAGCGGGGGAAAAGCTCGCGGGGGGTTTGCCCTCGTTCCGCGAAGTACAAGCTCGGGTTTGCGAGAGCTCGAAGAGGATCGAGGAAGCGGCGAGGTACACGGTGGTCCGCTAATGGGATGCAGGGGAAAGAAGAAACCCCCGGGAGAAGCGGGAAAGAACATCAACGGGACGAGGAAAAAATTTCAGGAGAGTCGTAAGGACATCCTGGCGGCGGGAACTCGCAGGAGCTTTTGAGGGGAAATCTGATCGCATTGCAGGAATAATTATTTTTTAGCATTTATTGAAGGGGGGATTTTCCTCTGGGATTATTTTAGTCTATCCATGGAAATAGGAAATTTGTAAGTTTATGGGAAATTCGGGGCGGACGGGAGGTTTCGAGGGGAAATCCGTAAATGTGCAGCGGTTGCAGCAGCAGCTCAATTTCCTGAAGTCGGTCTTGGTCCCGACCTAGGGCAACGGGGAGCATTTAATTGAACGCTTTGTCGAGCCTCTTCTTGCCTCGGTCTCGCTTCTTACGGTCATTCCGCTTCTCTATGGGGTCTCCTTCCCCGGGAGTCCTGGATGCACCCGGTGCACCCGGTGCACCGGATCGCTCGGACGCATCCTCGACCCGGCACGCAGGAGGCCGCCTTATCTCGCCATATCTCCAATTAAAGGGCCTTTTATTCGACGTGTCCCTCCTTGCCCCGGTACCGGTGTACCGAATGTCGGGAACAAATTATAATGGCCGGCTTAATTGGGGACGATTCCGGATAATTCAGGGTCCTCGGCTCCGTTGACGGTCGCGGAATTCCTGAAGAGCGTCGAGCCTTCCTAGGATCTCTTCCGATCTATTTAACCTATCAAAAGTGCCTGGCAGATCTCTCCATTCTTTTTTTTAATGGATCACTTTCAATGAATCCATTTCCAAGACACATTTAGTTCGAATCAAGGAGATGCTCTTTTCTCTCAAGACGTAATTCTTAAATGGATTTGGGATTATTTTAACTCCGGGTCTTCATTTCAGATTTTCATTGATGGTGGCGATTAACTATAATTGAAACGAAAAAAAAATGGGAAAATATTTTTTGGAGAGGGACATTTAGATTTTTTTTCGTTTGTGCGTTACATTTTTCTTTATTTAATTGACTCGATCAGCGCTCGAAGATGCCGAAATCGAGAAGCGAGGTGCTATTGGACATGTATGGACACTCGGAGGGCGGTATTTCCCTCGCTTACGTGATGTAAGTTCGAGCTTTTTAATCCTCGGATGGGATTCGATCCCGATCGTTGATCTTTCCTCCCTAACCTGTCCCAAGCCCGGTGGATCTCGCTCGATCCGACTCCATGGGATCGAACCTCGCTCGGCGATTTCGCGGTCGGTTTTCCAGAAAAGGACGGCATCGATCGGTAGATCGTTAATTAAATCGATCGCGATCGAGGGCTCCGGACACTTGACGTAGAATGGGCCTGCGAGTCGCCGCTCTTCGTCTAACCTCGGTGCGCGCAGGAAGTACCAAGATTAATTGCCACAATTAATCGGGCGGTCGCGGAACTTGACTCGGTAATATTTTTTAAATTATGACATTCCAGACTTGATTCGGTATGACGTACTTTTTTTTTTTATTCTGAACTGGGCGAGAGGTTAAAAAATTCTACCGATCGTTTCACCCTCTCGATCGAGTTTCCGATCAGCTGACGAGTCCATCCCGAATTCTCCGATCCTTTATCCTGGGTTCTCCTCCCCAACAGGATGGCGCCGTTAATTAACGACGAGGGACCTGATCGATTGCTCGCGTGTCGTAAAATCCTTCGGATAAGTGCCGGCTGGACGAGAGGACGAGTCGCTCTCTCGTCCTACGGAAATATTGCGACGTTAATCATCTTCGTCAACGAGAATCACCTTGTAATCCGGTTCGCGAACGTCCTCTTGTATACCGCCGTGTTCGAGTTAACAAGGATCGCTTCAACCGCCTTAATCACACTTATCGTTAAATCAAACCTCGAAAGTCGGATTTTTAAATTGAATCGAAATATTGAAGCCCTTAAATCCGCGCGAAAGTCAATAAAGATATTAATTGTTTTCATTGATTACCAAGGGGCAGGATTTTCTTTAACGCCCTTGCGCGTAATTCTCTGCGCAGGCGCGGTGACATTAATCATGGCGGCCGTAGAGGATTTCATCGACGCGAGTTAGACGTTTCGATGTAATCGCCGCATCGAACCGCGTCAGCGGAAGAGACGCGCGATTACAGCTTGACGTCGTACACGGGGACGTTTATATTAACGTCGGGTATGCAAATGCGCGAGTGCGAATATTTGAAGGATTTCTCGCGCCTCCTTTCCAGGATGGTCGGGCGTTGAAGTCTCTCGCGTCTACGAGGAAAATCCAAGATGGCGGTATTTACGAAATCCTGCGAGCGGTCGACGAGATGGCGGGCCGTTGAAGTCTCCCTCGGGGTTTTTAATATTACCGGGACGAGGTTTAGGAGCCTAGGGAGTCATCGTCGCGCGAGGAGAGTAACAGCTTTTCGAGCCGAGGTTCCAACGCCGTCGGCCATTGTCTCCGAAAACAATGGCGTCGTGTATCATTGTTCCCTTTACGGCGCGCCCCGAGGGACCGCTCCTCTCCTGGATAATGAAGACGAGCCCTCGAGAGAGGGACGTACGAATACGATTTGCTGTAATGTTAATTCCGCTAAACGCTCGGATCTCGACGTCGAAAAGTCGCCGAAGGAGGGAATTCAGAAAGTCCTAGAACGATATTCCCCAAGCGTTCCCGCGTCTCGGACATTTTTTCAATTCTTTCGGATGTATGATTTAACGCGGTTTAATTTGTTTACTTTGTTTTTGTTGTTTTATTTTGAACGTGTTTTTTGACAGACGGCACGTTTTTTGTTGCAGATGCGTGGCAGGAATGGCGGAAAAGGTGCGCGACGCGGCGTCGCGCGGCGACGCCGCGCGTCTCGAGCGTCTCCTTGACGATGGCGTCAAGCCATTGCCCGACGAGGTGAGGACACTTTTACTCTTTGCATTCCCCGGGTACTTTTCCCTATTCTTTTTCTCCCTTTTAGGTGAAAACGAAACCAGAAACGAGTCCTCGACCACCGCGTCGGTGGATCGCTCCCGGCCGCCATCTTGGATGTAACCGGAGTCGCCTCGCAAATCGATCCGACCGATCCGATCGATTCGTAACCTCGACCTCGGGAGATTTATCGGGCTAGATTATCTATGGAGGTGTCTCGAGATCGCTTTTAAACCGTGCCAAAATGGCCGCCGGGACGCGGCTTCGGAGGACGAGGGTCACGCGTCGTTGGGAATTAATATGGCGCAATTTGCAGCGGGCGAAGCCGTCTTCCGGATCGCGTAACGAGCCCCATTGTCGTCGAGCTTCCTCTCGGCCCTATTGACAAATGACCGTGCATTGATACAAACATGGCGGCCCTGGAAGCGTGACTCTCCACTGCGCAATATAGTCAGCTCTTTGTCGACACAGGGAAAATATTTAATTATCCTGCAATAATGAGGCAGGCTCATTTTCAAGGGTGTTCATCCTTGCCGAAAGGGAGTAAGATTTAACATCAAGGCCATGCATTATTCTTTTCTGGGAACTCTAATTAACCGTAAAACTCCAGGATGAAATTCAGCGGTTTGCGTTGGAAGATTTTAAACAGTTCAAAATTGGCGCGCGTTCTCCAAGATGGCGGGCTCCGGATTTAATTTGACGCAGAAGTTATGCGCGTTACGCGCCGGGTTTCCGGCGGCCATTAATTATGGGGCTAATTGAAGCGTTGATAAGCCTCGGGCGGCGATATTTGAAAAATGGCGGAGGGGCACGAAACGAGGACGCGCTCGCCCGGCGAGAGGAAGAGAGATGGTGCGCCTCTCGCCGAGGTGTTGATTATTCCTTCGATTATATTTACGAGGATTCGTAATTCGCAATTGCGCCTGATTTCAGCATGGCCGCAATCCCCTCCTCCTCGCCGCAGCCGGGGGCCACCAGGACGCCTGCAACGTCCTCCTGGCACGCGGGGCCGACGTCAACGCCGCCGACAATGTGAGTCCTTTTTGTCACTTCTGCATGCTCGTTAATCCTCGGGCACCCTCGCGATACGCTAATTACCCCTCCCCGCGTAAATTACATAGATTACCCCGCGCCGTCTCGTAGAAAAATGCAAGGTAACGTGGGCGACGAGCATTGAACTCTCTGATGCCCTTTGACGCGCCGCCATCTTGGTTTCCTTTCACTGTTAACAATATTCATATATTTCATGTCCTTTGGGGCATAAAAATTCTGGTAAAATTAATTGAATAAAATTATACATTTGTGATGAAGTTGAAAATAAACCTGTAAGTTTGTAACACCATATTGGAAGTTGCGAAATTTTGCAGAAAAAGGTGCACGCTTGTGTCTTAAATGTATAACATGTTTTAAGATTTTCCTTTTATGCGGTACAAAATATTCGTAGAAGGAACGTTAGAATTCCCTTGGGGGAAGTCGCCTCGAGTCTTCCATTTTTATAAATCCCGCCTCGGATCGGGCCAATTACCCGAACTAATCGATCCGCGGCGGAGATGCGCGCGGTCCAATTAATACGTCTACGCTAAGGAACCGCGAACAGATCTTAATTGCGGCTAGAGTCCGCCATTACGCGGCCCCGGCATTACGCGCGACTCGCGACGGAATAATTGCACCGTGGATCGAGTCGATATTCCCCGATCGAGATCCTCCAGAGGAAGAGTCTCCGCACCTGTAATCGAGGACCAGCTCGTATACCTCATGAGATATATTTCAGGGAACCGATACCCGCGAGAAATGACATTTTCACTCTTAACTACCGATTATTCTCCCTGCAGTTATAATTCCCCTGGCAGCAATAATGTTTACAGTAGATATTAGCAAATAAAATTGTCACTACTCGATCAAATGAGAAATATGAAATTTGTTGCCGTCCCACCTTCAATTTCAAATGTTTACATTTGTTGAAATGGACTTTTGCCACGGCTGGGAATTATTTTTCCGCGGGGGTGCTTTCGTTTCGGAAGCGACAACCGTTTCGAGTCTTGTCGGTTTTTTTTTTTTGAGGGAATTCGCGATTTCAGTTTCGCTCAGCCTGGGAAAGAGTCGCGGTAACAATGGCGCAGAATGGAGAGGGCAGGTCATGCGCACCCGCGAAGGGGTTCGGATGAAATTGCGCCTTAATGGGAGTAATTACGGGGGCGAATTTGCAGACAATGCAAACGGAACGGCCGGCCGGGAGTCGAGAATGGACGCGTCGTGCGCCGCAATTACGAGCCCTATCACGGGAAACGATCGTACTCGCCGTGACCGGCGCGTTTAATTATCAATTGCGCGACAAGGGGCATCCCATTTTCTCCTCTTCTCTCCTTTCCCAATTTGGAAAAGTCCGCCTCGCGGGAAACCCGAGGCGGCGCCATTTTAAAATGCCGGATCCGAGTCGTCGATTTAATTCTCTGGAATCGATCGAGTCGTCGTTGCTGTAATTTGACGGATTCGACTCGTCGCCATTTATCATTAATCGAATTCAAGTCCTCGCCATTGTTTACCTCGTCCGAGTCTCCAATTTTTAAATCCCGGTTTTGTAATTTTCTCCCTCGGTTTTCGAGACTTCTACCCCGTCGACGGGACGTCGGGAACCTCGGGTCAGGGGTCGAAGGAAGCAATAAGGATCGGGCTTTATCCCGGGCATCGGCGTCTCGACGCGATGCGTCCATTCGCAGACCGAGTGACGGCCAATCTTGTCCGCGGCCTGTGGAGAACACGTTTGGTTAGATTCTGCCAGCGTGGGGTACGAACCGACCCTCTCGGGCCCTCCTACGTCTTCCCGTTTACGTCCTCGAGAGTCATCTGCGTAGAAATCCTGTTTCCGGTTCGAGCGAGAAGGCGTACTCGTGTTTTTTCCTTGAAAAATTCGGCCGGGGGTCTTAAACGATTTTTTCGGATCGACTATTCGTGGCGGATAATTCGGTAATTCGATAATTCTCATATTCGATCACTCGATAAACCACGGTTGGATAAATCAATTGTTCCATAATTCGATAACTCGACGACTTTGCAACCCTCGATGACTCCGCGAACTCGGAGACTTCAACGCGCGCACAGGAAATGTCTCCAAAAAGCGGCTCTACAAACGCGCGGAATCGCCGCGTTTTCTCATAGTTTTTGAGATGTGATATTTTAATAATTCGGTAATTCCATGACTCGAGGATCCTATGATTAGACGACTCGGTAATTTCATAATTCGATAATTCGACGGCTTTACATCTCGGAGACTTCAACGGCCGCACAAGAAATGTCTCGAAAAAATCGCGTTTTCTCGCAGTTTTTTCAGTTTTATGGGGCGGAATCGATTTTCTCGTAAAGATTCCAAGCTCGCTCGGATTCTAGGCTCGTTCTTATACGACCGTAGGCCACGGGGATGTAGTACCTTCATAAGGGAATCGCGCCGAGCTCGGGACGAGGTTCTCTCCGTCTTTCTCTCCGTTCCTTCTCGGCTCTCGGCTCCTGCTAGGAGAGCCCGATGTGTTTACTAGTTAGCGATGTATCGTAGAATTTACTACGGCATTGAGGGCCCGGTGTCGGCGATCGGGCCCGACGAGACGAGCCTAGCTAATAGCGCCGCCGGCGTCGCGTCGTTTACCCGATCGTACCCGGGGCCCTTTTTCGAGGTTATCCTTGCCAGCGTCTATCCGACGCGCTCCAAGGATGGGGACTTTTCCATGCATCCTCTCTTTGCATCTTTGTTTCTCCCCTTGTACATTTTTCGATCCGTTATATATTTAAATTCTTATATTATACTTTTCTTTGGTCGGTGTCGCCGAACTTTTGTCGGCCATTTTTTTTTTATTTTACATTCCACTCAATATTTTTACCTTGACTTCGCATCCATTCCTAGCACCGTCACAAATCTCCTCCATCCTGGTTTTCGTATCCACACCTTCCACGAGGAATTCCTTCATTTCCTGCAATTCCATCTCCAATATTCGGAGCGAAACGCATCCAGCAATTGAATGGGCACTCGCTTCGTCTCGCGTTTATCTCGGCTTGCTTCCAAAAAGGAACAGGACGAGGATGCAAGTCCGACTAATATATACGCCGTAATTCCCGGCTAATGCACGATTACGGTCGATCTGCTTCCTCCTCGTTGCATCCTCGGTGCATTCGTTGCATCGTTACTCCAGATTTTGCCAATCGACTCCGGCGAATTAAGGAGCACTTGTTCCTTCTTTTTCTACGTTGAGACACGTGACGCGCATCAACGGAGGCGAGCTAGGGAAAGGATCGAAAAAGGATCGAAAAAGTCGAAAGGGGGTCTCGCGGGGGCAAGTGCCCCCCGAGATTTCCCGGGGACGTTTACAGCCTCGGGATTTACGGCGAGGCTTTGGGCGTGCTTGGCCTCTCGGTGCCACTCGCGCTGTAAATCCGCGGAATCCGCACCGCCGTGTATCCCTCCCCTTTTTCCCCGCAAGCGTAATTTACACCCGCCGTTTAAATAAAACTCCCGCCCCGAGGAACCGGAGTCGATCGCCCGACTCGCCTTCTGCTCTCCTCTCTCTTTCTCTGGGGATAAAAAAAAAACCAAAAAATCTCCCGGAGAACGGCGTAAATCAAATTTCATTTTTACTTTCTCCAAGGTGAGATATCCCCTTTCGAGATGCCGGGAGCCGATTTTCGAGAAAAAAAAATCGAAATTCGGTGCTATACCCCCTGAACGTCAAGGCGGGGATTTTGGAGAAAAACGCGAATAAAAATGCAGATCTATCATTTGCGGTAAAAAAAAAAATGTATACTTATACGTAGGTATTTATTACACTTTTTTGTACATGTGTGAGATAGGTGAGGTACGTCGAGGCGTGGATTTTCGAGAAAACCAGGAATAGGAACACAGGACTGCATTCATGGTTTGAGAAAAAAATTAATGGTTCTGCGTATGTATTTATTATGCATTTTTTATACATATCTAGAGGATTGAAGGGGCGCCGTGAGAATTCGAAACGCGTAATGGGAGTACTTCTGGTTTGCATCTCTCGCCGAAACTGGAGGGCTCGCAACGGTTACCGGCAATAAGCGTACCTACGCCAATTTCCGAAAAAAAAAAGGTATTGAGAAAAAGAAGGGTTCCTCGCCAGGAATTCGGGCCCCTCGTGCGTGCTCAGGTCCCAGGGAACCTGTAATTACGGAGATTCGGGATAGCCCTTCGGAGAAGGATACCCAGCTTCGGCCTCTATTCCAAAATCCGTTCGTCGTGGGGCCCATGCTCCCCCTTTCCCCTGAAATTTGCATACCGAGCCATTACGCGCCATTGGAAAAAATTGCAAAGAAAATCCTTTTAATTTTCGGCTTGTAAAGGAGCGTTAAAAATAAAAGGTGGAATACGAGGGAGCGATTTTCTTACCTCTTGGACCGGGTTCCATGGTCGAAAGGGAAGGAAGAGAGGAGAGGAAAGCGAATGGGAGCTCTTCGGGGTGGGAATTGCCCTCGGTCGCGTCTCCATAAATCCTTAGGGTCGGAGGCTGTAAAGGGAACCATGGGTCCATTTAATGACACGGTGGTAGCCGGTCTCCGCCCATTTTTTAAGAGTCCACGAGGAGTCCTAGAGACGACTAGGACCGTTTAGGGGACCCTATAGACCGAATTATCTCGCACCATCGTAAAGCGAGATGATTCCGACGTCACGGCATCCCTCTGGATCGGAAATTCAATTTCAGCAAGGATGAAATTCGTTTTACCCCATTTTCATGGTGAACGCGCGTCTTACCTGTCCCCTACCTGGGAACAAATCGTAAATCACCGTATTTATGACCCCCCCTCATTTTCATGGCATTCCCTCATTTTGTATATTTTTTTTATCTCCACCGCGCACCTCTCTACCTCATTATTAAATTATCAAATGAATTATTCTTCGCGCCTTAAGGCGATGTAAAATCTTAAAACGGGTAGATACGAATAACACTTTTTTTCAAGGTAATTCAATCTTCCATAGAGTCTTGACGGTTTCGAAATTCCGATTTTTTAAGAGAAAATCGAAATTTTAA